CAAGATACTCAGGAGGCTGAGGCAGGAGAGTTGCTTGAACCCGGGAGGTGGAAGTTGCATTGAACTGAGATCACATCATTGCACTCCAGCCCTGGCAACAAGAGCGAAATTCTGTCTCAAAAAAAAAAAAAAAATTAAAGGGTTAGTAATATGAAATCATGAATTTAAAAATATTTCCCTTTCAACCCAGTGAAGTTGTTACCGTTGCCGTTGGTCAGCTTTTTTTCCATCTTTGGCTGGAAGCCTCTTCACCTTGGCCCCCAAGTCCTTTAGATAGAATCCTGACTTTGATGGCGTCCTTATGTCTGGTCTAACAGGGTGTTCTAGGCTCATCTTGCATATTTCTTTTCTCAGGTCTGGAATGAGCCATTTTTCCAGGAAGCCTTGGTTTCTTCTGGTGAGAAATGTTATTTGAAAGCCGTAGTCTGGGCTCTAGGGATGCATTGCTGCTGTGCAGATCACTGTTTCCCTGCCTTTGTGGCAGTCAGAGCCGGAGTGGTATATATAAATACACACACACACACACACACACGAGTTCATATTTTCCTCTTTCTGTCTTTCTTGTCTTTCTTGCCTGTCTTGCTGTCTTGCTTTTTCTTTCTTTCTTGATGGATTTTTGCTCTTGTTGCACAGCTGGAGTGCAATGGTGCGATCTTGGCTCACCGCAACCTCCACCTCCCAGGTTCAAGTGATCCTCTGCCTCAGCCTCCCGAGTAACTGGGATTACAGGCATGTGGCACCACGCCTGGCTAATTTTTTGTTTTTAGTAGAGACGAGGTTTCGCTGTATTGGTCAGGCTCGTCTCGAGCTCCTGACTTCTGATGATCTGTCTGCCTCGGCCTCCCCAAGTGCTGGGATTACAGGCGTGAGCCACCACACCCAGCTGAGTTTATATCTTCAATTCAAATCCGTGACTTCAAGGTGTTTGCTTGACTTCCTCTGTCTGCTTTTCCTTGTTGACAAGGACATCGGGGGTGACAGAATTGCACACAAGGCAAGGCATTCTCAGAAAGAGCTCTACTGGCCGTGCGCAGTGGCTCACGCCTGTAATCCCAGCACTTGGGGAGGCCAAGGAGGGTGGATCTCTTGAGGTCAGGAATTTGAAACCAGTCTAGCCAACATAGTGAAACCCTGTCTCTACTAAAATACAAAATTAGCTGGCCATGCTGGTGGGCACCTGTAATCACAGCTCCTCGGGAGACTGAGGCTGGAGAGTCGCTTGAACCGGGGAGGTGGAGGTTGCCATGAGCCGAGAGCATCGCCACTGCTCTACAGCCTGGGCAACAGTGAGAGGTCGTCTTAAAAGGAAACAAAACACACAAAAAACCTCTGCTCCTCCCTGTGGCGGCTGAATGAACATGGTAACATTTGTTGTTTGTTCGTTCGGGAAATGGTTTGGAAAGAACCCTGCCGCTTCCACTCCTTACTGCTGCTGAGCGTTGTAGCATGTCTTTTTGTTTTTGAAAGATCTAACATTTGTTTTTCATATGTACTCACAGTTCCTCCCAGTTTCACGCGTTGACATTGTGTCTGCGTTCAGAGCGTGGCCTTGCATACTGCTCCTTCTCTCCTCCTGAGTCTCAGTCTTGAGTGGAGATAAAGCACTCCTCACCAGCCGCGCTTGCTCTTCCCGATGTGGTTTGGTTTTCTGAAGCTTGTTTGTTGCCAGTGGCTTCAGGCGGGGATTTTGGGAATACCGTTGTTCCCTGAGGACTGGATGTTGAAGAAAGCCTACTGCCTTTATACTTGAAAGTAATTTTGTTTGGATATAAAATTCTTGGCTCACATTTCTTTCCTTGTGTGTCTTAAATATGTTTATCCCTATTTGTATGTATATATTTTAGAGATGGGGTTTCATCATGTTGGGTCAGGGTGGTCTCGAACTCCTGACCTCGTGATCCGCCCGCCTCGGCCTCCCAAACTGCTGGGATTACTGGCGTGAGCCACTGTGCCCTGCCAAGTCACCTAGTCTCTTGCTTGGGTGGCTAAAGGAATTTTTCTTTAGGTAATGTTTTTATTGGGCTGTGTTTTGGTGTTGGTTGTTCTATTTTTTTTCCCCCTAGGTTGTGGTGTAACCCTTTAATGAGTAGTTTCAAGCACCCTCCCTCTTGCTTTCTGGAGAGTTTTCTTGAATTACAGTTTTTATTATTCCATTTCATTGCTTTAGTTTTCGTCTTTTTTCGAGACAGGGTCTCGCTCTGTTGCCCAGGGTGGAGTGGAGTGAACTCCCAGTCTGCAATGGCTTTCCTGCCTCAGCCTCCTGAGTAGCAGGGACTGCAGGTCTGTGCCGCTGTACCCAGTTAATTTTTAAAATATTTTGTAGAGACAGGGTCTTGGTACATTGCCCAAGCCGATCTCGAACTACCGACCTCAAGCGATCCTCCTGCCTCAGCCTCCCGAAGTATTGGGATTACTGGTGTTAGCCACTGTGCCTGACCAGTTTTCATCTTTAGCGTGACTAGTATACATATGTTGGGTCTTCTTTTCTTGTCTTACGTGCTACTTTTTCTTGAGTTTTTTTCATCTCTTTCTTTTTCTTGAAATTTTTCTCACTTTGTTTTTCTGGAGGCTCTGTTGTGCTTACTTGTTCTAAGTTTCTTCTAGTTTAGTCTTAATTCTGAAGTTATATTTTCTTTTGTTTCTGGTATATTCTCAGTTCTAGCACCTTGTTTCTGAGTTTTTCTAATGCTAGTTTATGGTTAATGGTATGTTATATGTTTAACATATTTCAGTTTGTTTTGAAATACTGGGATATAGCTTTTTTTTTGAAGTTTTCATCCTTTTGGGGATTGTATGTTTCTAGAATGCTTTCATTGTCTGCTGTGATGAAGCTGTTTTGCTTCTTACTCTTTTTAAAACTTATTTTTGTGTGATGTTGGCCTCAGTACTTTTTGTGGCTCATTTTTCTATGACTTTGGCTTTTCTGAGTGTTCAGAAGGGAGGCTTGGTTTAGAATCATTCTCTAAGGGCAGTGTTGCGGGGCTCTTTCCTGTGTGGTTTTTAGGAAGTCTTAAACCTGCAGCAGCTTATTTTCTGATTTCTCTGGGCTCTCTTCTCCCCTCCCACCTTTAATTAGCTTTCATGCTCCTTTGTCTCCAGTTTCCATGCCCGCACATTTTGTGTTCAGTTCCAGGCCATTTCTTTTTAATGTATTTGGCCTAAAAGGGAGCTTTGGACAATGTGTTTTGAGAGGTCGTAGGGTCCAGAACACTCTGGCCTCTGGGTTAGCCCTGCAGGCCCCTGTGTGTGTCTCCTGGTGGGTCCGGCAGCTGCTGCTCTGGCTCGGCTCCTGCTTCCCTCTGCCTCGTCCGTCCTATGCCCGCCTGCCCTGCTGAGCTTGTGGCTTCCAGTGTCCCCATCTGCTCGTATTTAGGGTTCTTGAGGACTATCCTGTCGCCTCGTTCTTTTGTCAGTGTTGGCCTGGAGTTTGGCTTTGCTGTGGTTGGAGCTCTGTGTGTCTGTATGGGAGGATTCGGGGAGATGAAACGTCTGTCTCATTCCATCTTTCCTGAGTGGGACTTTTTAGAGGTTCAGCGCTGGTCCCTCTGAGGTTTTGTGTTTCCCTGTCCAGTTTTGTCATCAGCTCTGTTTTTCGTTAAGGACAGTTACTTGATGTTTTCTCAGTTCATCTAATCTTGTATAAAGTTACAAGGTGCCTTTGCTGTTTTATTGATCATACATGTGATCACACATTTATGAAAAATATTGCCTTTACTCTATAAAAATAAAATTTAGGACAATGCGTGGCTCCTCCTTCCACAAATTGTTGTCTCCAAGAAATTCCAGAGCTGTTGCCATTTCAGCGGTGAAATGTAAGTCTGGACAAGGGAGAGGAGGAGCTGCAGTATTTGTAGGATTTTGGGACGTGTGAGGCCTGCTCATTTAATTTGATTCCTATTGGGGCTTATCCATTAGCAGAAGTTGTGAGTAGACTCAGAGTTGAAACCATGTGACCTGAAAATCCCACTTTTCTTTCTGCCGCAGGGGTTGTGATTATGGACAGTAAAGGGACCCTTCCTGGTGAAAGGACCTGTGCTGTACAGAGCTGGGCACAGGGTTTCTGCCCTCCAGAAGTGTGTAGTGTAGTTCAGGACAGGCAGTTTATTTCATACTGTTTATGTATCCATAATTAAAGTGTAGTGTGATTAGAAAATATGATGGTCACATTCATTCCTGATTTCTAGGACATGCTATTTTGTAGTACTGTATTTGGACCTGTGTGTTCATAGACCATAGTTTGAGTGATGCTGCCTCATTTTTATTTTGGAAAATAAGTTCTCTTGAGGCCTAATCGGAGTGTCACAGGAGCTTGAGGAAAACCCCTGACTGTGTTTCAAGACACTGTGCGAGGCTTGGGGACGGCCCCGCCCTGGCAGCACAGCTGCGGACAGGACAGATGGTTCCCCCTTGGTCGTGGTGTGGGGATGCCGCTCGGGTTCAGGACAGAGGCTGAGAGCAGAAAGAAAGCAGAACAGAGGTTCTGCCACTCCACCTGGCCTGTGGGGTAGCAGAAACGGAGTCTAGATGGAAGGGTGCCCCTGGGAGAGATTGGGGAGGAGGATGGCATATCACCATGGAGACCAGTGATGTGATGCTGCTTTCTGGGATGTGGTGAGTGTAGCAGGCTGAGGCCCCACGGAGCTGGAAGCAACAGGACGCTTAGTGTAGGCAGTCAGGTCCCACTGGAGACGTGGGCTCAGGGAGGACGTGTGCCAGCCAGTGTTGGGAAGACGACTTTGGAAGGGCATGAGGAATGCACTGGGAACAGAGAGGCCCTGGGCAGCTCGTCCAGTGGTTAAGGAAAGAGGCAGCGGGTGGTGTTTTCAGCGATTTGTTAATTTTCAAAGAAACTAACTTTTTGGTGGTTTGAGGCACCCCGCATGTAAAAATCTGCAGACGTTTACGGCCTCTTGCATCCACCTGTGCGACTCGTGGTTTTCATCATTCCACGCGTCGTGGTGGTTAATGTCCTCTCCTCCTGCTCTGCTTCTGTTCCGTAGGTGACCAGCAGCTGGCCCCGCTGTGAGTTGAACTCTTGCGTGTTGACCGGCCCCTCTCCTGCTCTCTGGATGATGTCGGAACACGACCTGGCGGATGTGGTTCAGATCGCAGTGGAAGACCTGAGCCCTGACCACCCAGGTACAGAGCTGTGGGACAGTAGGTGAAATATTATTCTCTTTATTCTTGAAAAACCAAAAGTTGCTCCATTTTTTTTCTTTTCTTTGAATTAAGCAGAAAACAAAGTAATGCATGCCGTGTATGAAAAATTGGAATCCTAGAGATGAGGACACTGTCAGCCCCTCCCTTCCCTCGCCTCTGCAGCCTCAGCCCCCTGTCCCTTCTGGAGGGGGCCCTGCAGCACTTTGTCTCAAGGGCCACCCCTGCTCCCGCTCCTCCGGGGTGTGTGTGTGTGTTCTGTACCATCTCCCCTGCCCTGTCCCTGTGTGCAGCGTTGTGGAGCCTTAAAATATTGTGTGTGTGATCCCGTGTGCAGCGTCATGGAGCCTTACCGTATTGTATGTGATCCCCTGTGTGCAGCATTCTGGAGCCTTACCGTGTTGTGTGTGTGTGATCCCATGTGCAGCGTTCTGGAGCCTTACCGGGTTGTGTGTGTGTGATCCCGTGTGCAGCATTGTGGAGCCTTACCGTGTTGTGTGTGTGTGATCCCGTGTGCAGCAGCGTGGAACCTTACCGTGTTGTGTGTGTGTGATCCCGTGTGCAGCATTCTGGAGCTTTACCGTGTTGTGTGTGATCCCGTGTGCAGCATTGTGGAACCTTACCGTGTTGTGTGTGTGTGATCCCATGTGCAGCAGCATGGAACCTTACCGTGTTGTATGTGATCCCCAGTGTGCAGCGTTCTGGAGCCTCACCGTGTTGTGTATGTGAGGTCCCGTGTGCAGCATCCTGGAGCCTTATCGTGCTGTATGTGTTGCCCTGTGTGCAGCGTTCCGGAACCTTACCGTGTTGTGTGTGTGAGGTCCCGTGTGCAGCATTCTGGAACCTTACCGTGTTGTGTGTGATCCCCTGTGTGCAGCATTCTGGAGCCTTACTGTGTTGTATGTGTGTGTGATCCCATGTGCAGTGTTCTGGAGCCTTACCGTGTTGTATGTGATCCCCTGTGTGCAGCGTTCTGGAGCCTTACCATGTTGTATGTGTGTGTGATCCCGTGTGCAGCATTCTGGAGCCTTACCGTGTTGTGTGTGTGAGGTCCCGTGTGCAGCATTCTGGAGCCTTACC